TAGTTAATTCCAACATAGCTATAAAAAGAATTTAAGTTATTAATAGATTTCCTAAATACATGGAACCGTTATAATCGCTTCTCAAACGTTGTATCACTCTGTACCTTCACATTTAGTGGAAGAACGTGTTGTAACACCTAACAAAGATCAAGCCTTACCTTCAAACCATTCTCCAGTGCAAGAGCCAGAATCTTACTCTCCTTCACGTGAACGAATTCAACAAGATCACATCCATTCTCCAATGCCACAAAGACTCCACTCCCCAATTTCTCCGATGCAAAATTACGATTACCCTCAGGTTCAGAAACAAGTTCATGAACCTATATATGCCGACATCATAGAATCCACAATATCTGATTACTATTCTGGTGACAATCAGTCTGATTGGAATATATTAGACCTACAAAATTTTATTGATACTGCAAGAACTTTTGATATACTTACCAAACAACCCAGAGTATGTTTATTTTAATTTACTACAAGTTTTTTTTTTTTTTTGTGATAAGATTATGTAATTTATTCAAAAAAAATTTTTTCATTATAGAAATTAAATTTGATCCTGCAACCGCCAAGTTTACCTTTCAAACGAGAAATAATTCTCTATGATGATTTCGTTATTGAAGTTCCTGAGTATGACAGTGATGAAAGATTTCATGTACGTGCTCATTTGTTCTTATTGACCGATCTCTTGTTGGTTTGTCAAAAAATTGACATAAAAGACCAACAAAATACACCTAATTTTAAATACTGGCTAATGTATCAACCGTTGAGCGGAAAACATTTGTCTATAAGGGATATAAGTTATGAGGAAGGAGGTTAGTTTTTTTATTGGTACTGTCCACTTCACCGACAGTCATTTCGAGATTAAGATTAGCATTTGATTAGTTGCAGATCTATATTTTTAATAAATTGTCACTCGGCTAAATGAGCTGTCGGTGAAGTAAGGCGGATCCGTTTTTTATAACGATTATAACGGTTCCATGTATTTAGGAAATCTATTAATAACTTAAATTCTTTTTATAGCTATGTTGGAATTAACTA